AACCATACATAAAATCCATGGTGATCTTCTCCCAAGTCCAATGCGGGATCTCCAACGGTAGGTGCTCAATGATTGGAGCTTGATGTTCAGCCTTGATCATTTGGCACTCCAAGCATTGGTAGACATGTGTAGCTACCTCCTTCTTCAACCCTGGCCACCAGAAATGCTCTTTGAGGGTACGATACATCTTATAGCCCCAGGGTGCATTGCATAAGGTGCAAAGTGAGCCTCGTCCAGAATATCCTTCCTTAGCTTGTCAACATCTGGGACACACAGCCTTCCTTGATACATCAGTACTCCATCTACCAGTTCAAATTTGGTGTCCTTCCCTTCTAACACTTGCTTCTTGTACTTATCTAATTCAAAATCTTCACTCTGCTTCTCCTTGACTCGTTCCTGCAGCATAGGATGAGTTTTCAAAGTTGCTAACAACTTTGTCACATCCTTTAGCTCCAACTCCACGTCCATGGCCCTCAGAGAGACCAACTCCAGTAGAGGGCTCTCCCTCTTCCTGCTCAAGGCGTCAGCCACCACATTTGCCTTACCTGGATGGTACTTAATGGTGCAGTCATAATCGCTCAACAGCTCCATCCACCTTCTCTGCCTCATGTTCAACTCCTTCTGATCAGTCAGGTGTTGGAGGCTCTTGTGATCAGTGAAGATGGTGAACGTCTCGCCATAGAGATAGTGTCTCCATAACTTCAAGGCAAAGACCACTGCTGCCAACTCCAGGCCATGGGTGGGGTAATTCACCTCATGGGGCCGTAGCTTCCTCGAAGCGTAGGCGATCACCTTCTTATCATGCATCAGTACACAACCCAAGCCTTGGTAGGAAGCATAGCTATAGATGGAATACTCTCCACTGCTGGTCGGTAGTGCCAGCACCAGTGCAGAGGTCAGCTTCTCCTTCAGCAACTCAAACGCCGTTTGACACTTCTCGTCCCAACCAAATGCTTTCCCCTTCTGCAATAGTTGTTTCATGGGTCGTGCAATGCTGGAGAAACCTTACACAAACCTCCGATAGTACCCAGCTAAACCCAAAAAACTCCGCACTTCGGAAACATTCTTTGGTGGAGCCCTGTTTGTTACAGCTTCAATCTTCTTGGGATCCACTTCAACTCCCCGTCCCGAAATCATGTGACCCAAGAACAAGAGCTCCTCCAACCAAAAGTCACACTTCGAGAACTTGGCGTATAGCTTCTCCTCTTTCAATTTCTGCAAAACCACTCTAAGGTGTTCTTCGTGCTCTTCCTTACTTCTCGAGTAGATGAGTATGTCATCTATGAAGACGATGACAAACTTGTCCAAGTACTCATGAAGAACCCGGTTCATTAGTGCCATAAAAGTTGCCGATGCATTGGTCAGTCCGAACGGCATGACCAAGAATTCGTAGTGGCCGTACCTAGTGCGAAAAGCTGTCTAGGGTATTGAACAGTCTGCCACTCTCAACTGATGATACCCTTACCGTAGATCGATCTTCGAGAACACCCTTGCTCCTTCTAGTTGGTCGAAGAGATCATCTATCCTTGGCAAAGGATAGCGGTTCTTGATGGTAGCTTTGTTCGGCTTCCTATAGTCAATGCAAAGTCTCATACTCCCATCCTTCTTCTTCACGAATAACACAGGTGCTCCCCATGGTGATACACTAGGGCGTATGAACCCCTTCTCCAACAACTCCTGTAACTGCTCCTTCAATTCCTTTAACTCCACTGGTGCCATACGGTAAGGAGGAATAGATATCGGTGTCGTGCCAGGAATCACTTCAATATCGAATTCCACCTCTCGCTGCGGCGGTAGCCCAGGAAGATCTTCAGGAAATACCTCGGGGTATTCCTTTACGACAAGTACATCTTCTATCTTCTTCTCTTGCGCCTCCTTAACATGAGCTAAATATGCTTCGCATCCTTCTTGAATCAATGAGAATGCCTTAACCGCGGAGATTAAGCATCCAGGAATAAGCTTCTTAGTCCCTTTGAACAAAGCATTTCCCTTTCCTTCTATATCCAGGCTAACCTCCTTCTTGTAGCAGTCCACCTTCGCTCTATTCTTTGACAACAAATCCATACCCAAGATAACATCGAACTCGTCAAAAGGTAGTAGAATTAGGTTCGCCTCAAATTCGTGCCCCGCCACGGTGATAAAGCAATCATGAATGACCGAGTTCACTATAAGGGTATCCCCCACTGGGGTCCTGACCCCTAAATTCTGCCCCAACATCACGAATGACCGAGTCCACTATAAGCGTGGTGGGCCCATAACCCACAGGTCCCTAGATCGAAACCAGGCTCTGACACCAAAATGAAACATCCCACTACTTTGAACTTGGAAAAAGACATTTCTACCCCGAGGTATAAAAAAAATAAAAATAAAACTAAAATAACACAAATTTAAATAAAATTCCAAACTCAAATATCTTAATATCTCAAATCGAAGCCCTAAACACGTGGGCAAAACTTATTTGTCCAAAAGAAATGAATCTCCAATCTTTAACTCTTAACCATAAAGTCTTAATAACTTAAAAAGTTCTCCGATGCTTACTCTGACGCCTGGCTCGACATCTCTCAGCGACGATGGTGTTGAGCTCCTCTAGCTTGCTGAACACGAACTGGCTGGTTAAGATTTCCTCCTCTACGATCTGGTGAGTGAGTTGGGGTCAGTCTACGCCCTTACGTTAAAATCTATAGTACTTTAGTATTCTTCTCTAAACACTTAACTTCTACTAGTGGAAGTCGTTTTGTACTTCCACTCTTAACAATCTTAGCTCTTAAAATTCTTCGGGAGTTAAGGTTACTCTCCCTTCTTAAAGCTCAAATCTTGACTTAAATCTTTTAACTGACACGGGGATCCCTCACTAGCTAGTCCGGTTACCCAACTCATACATATGAGAAGCCATCCAGGCTTTCCTTAAACTTAAACTTAGTTAGGGGAGTCGTAACGATTCATCCCCCTAACATCTTAAACTTATCGTGGTGGCTCTTCCCCACGATTCTCAAGAGCATAACTGCTGCTCATCTTAAAAGTCTCAAGAGCATAATTGCTGCTCTATCTCAAAATGTCTCAAAAGGCAACGAACTGGCGCTAGTTACTAAAAACACTTAAAACGACTTCACATTCTTGAAGGTGAGTTACTTCTTTAAAAAGAACTTGTTTCTTTAACTTAAACTTACTTGTAAGTATAGCACACAACAACGTAAAACTGAAAACATAAATCACATAAATCATATGACATCATATAAGCATACAAAGGCAAGTACGTCACATAGCAGTCAAATTCAAAAACTTAAATACCGTAAGGTGTAGAATTTACCCCCTTTACACTCACCTCTCAAGTGTCGATACTTTAATTCATTGGACGTGGAGATCATTAACTTGATCGCTTCCTTAATCCTATAAATAGAGATTAACTACCCTTAGTCGGTATTCCGTAGAGTTTTCCGTTCTCCTAGCTTAGTCCCAAAATTCTTTAAAAAGGGCATTAAATTTCTTGAAATAATTTTCTATTTTCTCCAAATTTTACCAAGGCTTGAATTACTACTATCAACTCGAAACTCTTATAAATAAATCTCATAAATTTCTCAAAATATGTTACTTCTTAAGAACTCAAAATTATGATTTAGAATAACCCTAAACATGAACCAAAAGTAAAATTTACCCTAACTAACTCCTTCTACTAATTCAATTTTGTCAATAGGGAATTTTAGATCTATACTAACGGCGCCTAAAATTCTCGATTTTAATTTTACCACGTGCAACCACAATTCTAGTATTGCAAAAAATTAACGAACTAATGAAAATAACTCATACAGTAATTAAATAGATTAAAACTGTTATTATTTTAATTTTTAAAAATAACAGAACGACTCCAAAAATTCCCCGAAAATTTATGGACATCCAGACCGGCGTCTAGCTTCCAGGAAAAATTTCAAAACTGACGAAAACTCTCGCAACCTACTTTAATTTACCTAAAACGTTTTTCTAACTATTTTTATAAATTGAAAAACAACTTCAAAACTTCTCAGATTAATACCCAACCATTCTCTTGATTTTATACTATTTATAAAATTATCAACTCAAGAAAATATATACTTTAAAACAATTATAATAATCATAATCTTGATAAAGTACAGTTTTTGGCCCATTGTCAATTTCCAAAACAGTAGGGACTAAGCTGATTGAACTGAGAATATGGGGGACTAATCTGGATATTTCTCGCAGACTGAAACAGAATTACCACCATGGTATTTATACTTTTTGAATTTACGATATTAGTACTTGAATTATCAGATTTGCGTCCCAAACTCTCGGGACTCGTATCACACTCGTCTGACGTCGAAATTCAATTCTGTCGAAACCGGGATGCTCATGGGATTGCCCTTTTCGGGATGATGCCAAGGTTTTAGGGTTTGGTTGAGGTCGGCTACGCCGGAACCGCCTTTGCAACTTCCCGATGATTCTCGTACGCCTCTAGCGTATCCACCGTCGAGCGAGGGTGATGGAGTGGTGGAACAGCGAGATGGGAGTCCGAGGCTGTTCGTCGCTGGGTCGGGGAGAGAGGATTGGGGACCCCGGTTGGGGATTTGGTACGGGGAATCTGGTATTAGTTTTTCTTTTAAGCTTCTTCCGCTGCGCTGTTGAGTATCAGAGAGAGAGAGAGGAAGCGTCCGAGTGGGGGTTTCTCTCTGCAGCAGTAGCCGTGAAATACGAAGAGAGGGTGTAAATGGGGTTATAACGGTTTGGAGTAGGGAGTCTGCTGGGAAGGGTAACGGGTTGGGGGGAGACGTGGGGGTTGGATGATGATTGATCATAATAATAACAATAACATTAATTATTAATGTTATTATTATTATTATTTCTAATTTAGGGTTTTCATCCTTCATCCTTCTTACGTAAATGTCGATCCAACCATTTGGTCGAACCTAGATTAAAATATCGGGGTGTTACATTTCCTCCACCCTTATTAAAATTACGTCCCCGAAATTTGAAATGTAGAGCAATCACTTGTACGATGTAACGCTGTATTTGAAGGAACGATGCTAGTTGGGGTATAATATTTCCCTCCCCCTTAAGAAATTTCGACCTCGAATTTTTTTTGGCTGGATAGAGTTGTTAGCTATGGTGGAACATAAATGCATCACTGGGTCCATTCTTGAAAATTGAGCAACAAGAATTAAACGAGAAAGTAAAAAGAGAGTCACCAACCGCTGCTCTGAGCACCGTTAAACAAATCTGGGTACTTCTCTCTCATGTAACTCTCGGTCTCCCAAGTTGCAGCCTCGCTGCCCTGGTTCCTCCATATAACCTTTACCATGGCAATCTTCTTCCTCCTCAACTCCTTTTCCTGCCTATCCACAATCTGGATTGGTACATCCTCATAGGTCAAATCATCTTCCAACTGGATGTCCTCGTGTCTAATCACATGCTTTGGTTTGGATCGATACGCCCTTAGCATGCTGACGTGGAAAACGTCATGAATCATAGATAGGCTGGGAGGTAAGGCTAGTCGATAGGCTAAGGGTCCAATGCGCTCCAACACCTCATATGGACCGATATACCTCGGACTAAGTTTTCCCTTCTTACCAAATCTCATCACTCCTTTCCAAGGGGACACCCTTAGGAATACCATATCCCCCACTTCAGAACTTCGTGGGTTCCCTGGCCTCTCGGCATTACTCTTCTGCCGGTCCTGAGCCGCCTTCAAGTTCCGGCGAATCAACTCCACCTTCGGCATACAACTGTTACGAGAGCAATGATCTTCTCTATCCTAAGGCAACACTTTTCAATACTTTTTTTTCACCATCTCTACTTTGTTTCATGATACTATTTCCTTCTTCATTCCTTTCCACTTCAAGGGAATAGGATATGCTCCAAATACTTTTTTCCTTTCAATATAGGAATTGGTAATGGGGTGCTCTTATTCATTTTCTTTCTTTGTATAATGGAGTGCTCTATTTATAGGAACATATACATAACCTTTACAATCCCCTCTATCAATGCACATGAGTGAGATGTAATAACCATGAAGATGACTTTTTTTTTTTATGAATCAAGATGACTTATTTCCATAATGAATATAAGGAGATAAATACCTCCTAATGTAACATCCCATATGAAATCCAAAAGAGCATCCAATACCAATGGACATCCACAATACTACATTGTTTCATAATAATAGTGGATTTTTATGAACGTTTCAGCATTTAAAATTTGCTGCTCTCCTCTTAATTTTGTGAAGGGTATTTTAGTCCAAAATTTACCCAAAACCCGTCACATTCTGTCGCCAAAAGGAATAAACTATAACGGGGCCTAAACACACGTTGACGGTTGTGTGATGGTAATCCCAACCCAATTATCAGGGCTCATCAGCCTTTTTATTTCTTGTCCACAAAACCAATGGTATAAAATGATTGGAACTTAAAAAGCCCATAATCAATGCAAAATGGCAAATTCGACTGAAGGTTGCGGGAGATAATTATATGCCAAATTACTCTCCATTTTTGGTAAATTTCAAGTTTGGTCACTGAGTTTACTAAAAAGATTCACGTTTAGTCTATAGAAATATTTAACTCCATTCATGGTCACTGAAGTTAGTTTAGTGATTCAAGTTTGGTCACTCTCCATCCAATTCCGCTATCTTTATCTGACGTGGCGGTCAACTCTCATAATTGACTGTTAAATTAGCGACGTGTCAATTAGAAAAAATTAAATTAAATATTTTAAAATTTACACCTCATTATTCCAACTATTAAAAAATGAAAACTAATAAAAACTAATTTTTTAATCCTCGCCAACGTTGCAACCACCAAAGCCCCGTCGTTGCGTCTCCTAGTCTGGGAGAAAATTGGCCATCGTGGTGTTCCTAAGCTAAATTCATCCACATATACCAATATCTAGTCGTCGTCATCCTGCCTCTTATGTGCCTCCCATTTTCAACTAACAACCGTCGTTGGTAAACGTGAACCTGAGGAGAATATTTCTCCGAGTGGGTTTTCGTTGCGGAGTAAGATCGAGGCCTAATCTGAGGGCCTGAGGCTACTAGAATTTGGGGATGTGGAAAGACGATTGGGAAAGTTGTGATTTGTTTGGGAGAGAGTTTTCTAGATCTACATCAAGAAGAACAGAAAGGAGGGGATTAAGGCGGCGTGTAAGGGAAACGAAAAATTTATTCTTGCAGATGATGACGTTGACGACGACAACGGCATCCGGGGATTGAATATACTGTCGGCGGTGGGAAGCAGGGCATGGCCGACGTAATCGAGGTTTCCGTACTGTGGGAACGACTGGATGAAGCTTCCGATTAATCCATGGAAGGCAAGGAGTTGTGAAGGAAAGGAAAGTAGTTTGTGGAGCGGAAGGAGAAGGAAGTAGAGGAGCAGATGGTGGACTGGTGGCAGAGTTGTGAGATTGGAGGGAAGGTAGCAATTCGCGAGACGGAAGGAAAGTTAACGCCGAAGAGGTAGGACTGTGTTAGGTGGTTTAGGAATTAAAAGGTAATATGTTTATTTTAATGTGTTTAAAATTTTAAATATTTTTTTAATTGACATGTCACTCATTTAGCAGTCAACTATGAGAGTTGGCCGCCACGTACGATAAAGATAACAGAATTGGACGGAGAGTGACCAAACTTGAACCACTTAACTAATTTCAGTGACCATAAATGAAATTTAATATTTCTATTTTCTAGTGACTAAGCATGAACTTTTTTAGTAAACTGAGTTACCAAACTTGCAATTTACCCCTCCATTTTATATTTAAAAGACTTTGTACTTTTTTCAGTTGCAACTTTTAACGTACAACATTTTATAGTTAGTGTTTACAGAAATCCTTATGTTATATGTCATTGTTGAAGAGCAATAACAAATTGAGTTACTCACAATTGATATTCATTTAATATTTTTTAAGAAAGGACTTCAGTGATGTTTGTTGAAGAGAATTTGATTAAATTAACTACTTAATAATGTCTCATTCAAGGATAGTGAAACCATACCCGATGTTGTACCAAAAAAGTCAGTTATAGAATATTTTATTCTAAAATCGTGATTTGACTGTAGTTCAATGGTTTCCTGCCTCTAGAGTTGCCTACTAATTTGAGTTTGGCATTCGGTATTTTCAGTCTGACCGCACGATACAGTAGAGTTTCTAAATTATTGGTGTAATTATATTCATGAAAACTATTCAAATTCAATTAATGGTTTCAATTTCAAGTTTTAAAGACTCATCTTGAGCATTTGTCATCTTTTTTTTTCATTGGTTGTTGGCTCCAAAGTTCGAACTCATCGTGTGATAAATGTTCCCATCCAATCTTTACCACTAGCTAGAGCTGGTAATTTTACATCCATCAATCCAATCCAATCCAATCAAATCAAATATCCAGCTAATTCACTCTATTTAAACCCAACAAAATTGGATTGGTGGATTCATGTAAATTAAATTATAATTTAGTACCTATATTTATTATCTTTTAATATTGATAGCTAAATTGTACTTTTTCTCGACAAATTTATTGGAAATTACATTTTGGACATAATTTTTCTATTATGACATTTTAGTATACCTTACCTTTTCAAAATTTTCATGTTGGTCCACTGTTTAGATGACACTGGAATCTATGATCCAATCCACCAATTCATTTGATTCACAACATTTAATCCATGGTACACCAATCCATAAATCCAATTCATTTACCACCTCTACCTCTAAACCAACCACTTGGGATTAACATTTGTCGTCTTCGACCATGAAATCAATAAGTATATTGATAATTTCATTGAGGAACTATATGTTGAGAGTAGTGAGAAACGACAAGACATTCTTAACCATATTCAGTGAAAGGAAAGTTTTGAATCATTTGAAGAAGTTTTGAACTGTTGTGACAATCAAGCAAGCTGATGACATAACATAATTATGATGATGCTTCTAATCCATAAAATTGTCATTTATATTTCATTAATTTTAGTATGACAATTGTTGAGGCTCGTGATGTTGACCAAGATGATATGGAAGATGTCAAAACAATTAACATATCCACTAAAAGGAAGTTTGCTATTACATATGACAATGATTAGTATGGAAGTGAGCTACTTAAGTGAAAGTAACCCAATCTTTCTGTTCAGCTTTATGGGCTTTCAATTATGCTTACATAATTAAGTAAAAGTGGATTTGATCCAAATTATATTTGCTTAACATAATTGTCATTGTTCACAAAAAACAGTTATTTTCTCTTAGATGGTTAAGGCTAAATCTATATGCACTTAAGCTTTATTACACTATTATGATCCTATTCATATTCACTTTTTTTCTTAAACACATATGGGTTTTCTCAAGCCACATTTTGTATGAGTATTTTTTCCTCATTTTATACCAACTATGCAAACTACTACTAATAACACAAAACACAGGCACATCATCTTAAATATTGATTCAATAAACATGAATGTAATAAAAAAATTTGCCACTAAGTTGAATTGTTTGCCACTAAGTTGAAATCTTCTGACCAACAGACCGAACACAAGCTAGTTATATTACATTAGTGGGTACCAAATTGGATGAATGAATAATTCAATATTCGAAATAAAAAATGATCTTTTTATCATTGATAATAATATCCTATTATATACGAAAGTTCCACATAAAAACATGATTCATTCAGAATTATTAGCCTTCATCTCTGAGGTCACAAGCGGTCTATGGCCAAATCGCTTTCTCCAAACACGATCAGTCCATAAACGGTTTGTGACCTCAAGTTATCATTGCAGATCGCTTTTCTCTGCAACGATCAATGTTTAATTGGTATTCCATTCTACGATTTTCATGCAGATCGCTTTTGACTTGAGCGATCAATGCAAAACATGTGTAAATTGAAAATTTTTATAAGAACTATTGTATTTTGTGATTTTTTTAAGAATTAATATAGTGAGGACAAATTCTCAGTTATGACATTTATTTAGTAGTTCATATAATGTATTCGTAAGAGGTTGATCAGGTATGTTAAACCTCCACCTCATATATAGATTCTATGTGCATCCTCATAAACCCTAAACATGCTTGGAGGTGGAAAAATTACTAGACTTGATTTGATGGTATCCTTTTCAAATAATTTTGTTGATTGGAGTTTGAATAAAGGTGATTTTGCAAAGAGATTCAGTCATTGTTTTTAAATTCAACAGGTGGATGGTGATCACCACCCTTTGTCCATCTATATACTTTTCGTTCGGCAAATACTTGTCTATTTTGACTGAGAAGGGTGCGAGAACAAGAAAGTTAGGAGAGGAAGAAGAGATTGAACATAGACTCTAATAAAGGAAAGCAAATTTGTCAAAAAAAAAAAAATAATAATAAAGGAAAGCAAATTTGTCAAAAAAAAAATAATAATAATAAAGGAAAGCAACAGAGTGGTCGACACAAAAGAGTAAAGTGACTATTAATATAATAATTACATACAGGGTCGTTAGTATTTCGCTTAACGTCGGTCCGATGTTAGTGATGGCAATGGGGTGGGGCGGGGCGGGTACTTCAATACCCATGTCCCGCTTCATGCTACTATAGGTCGGACGGGTAAAACCCGCACGGGTACGAGGTGGAACGGGTCGACCCTCTCTTACATGTTATTTGAAAAAAATACAAGCAAAATTTTACTGTTTACGATAAAACAAACGAGAAAACACTTTATGAATTAAAATAGTAATGATATAATGGGTAATTGAGTCTAACAAGTTGAAAGATCGACTATAACTAGTTGAAGGAAAGTCAAATTATGTACAACTACTGTAAGAAATTGAGATAAAATGAGTCAAGAACAAGGCGGGGCGAGGCAGAGCAGATCAGAAGTAGATACTCGTACCCCGCCCCACGCTATTGCGAGTCGGGTAATACTCGCCCCATCGCAGGCCAGGTCGGATAATACCCGTG